TGAACTGACCATATACGACAACGAATTAGCATAAGTATCATTTATATCTTTGTTTACATCCTGATTGCGGACGATTGTTAATGTCGAGTTTGTTAAGAAGCAGGAAGAACCCGTTTATCTGTACGGTGCATCTAAGGTATAGCGATCGCTGTCGTGGCTTTTCCAACAAGCGAAAACAACGTTGTCTCGGACGTGGGAAAAAGCCGTGTTCTTCCTACCGCGTTAATTCAATCTCTATGAGAATTCGCTCTTTTGTTCGAGACGTACGCGTTCCAGCAATTTACCCAATCTCCGGATATTCATCTTTCCGTCTGCTCAAAACCGTATGTTCAATTTGCGATATCTTACGATAGCAGCCCCCTTTATACCCTCCTTGATCCGGTACTGTCTTCGAAATTAGAAAAACATCACGATACTTTAATTAATTACATGCTAGTTAAAATATTCAACGAGATAAAAACTTGCTCTTGGATATGTATAATAAAAAAATGTTATTATTGGGTCGTGTTTGACCCATATACAAGTTGCATAGAATTATCACGCTATACAGTATTCAAGGATTAATTATGCGCACAATTAAAATGCGACTGAGAAATTTCGCAAAAGCTTAACGCATTATCATCTCGCGTTTCTCATGTTCATAAAGTACCAGTCGATTTATCGTCAACCTTACAATTACTTCGCAACAGATCGGTCAGATGAAAAACAACGAGGATTGTAACGTCTGCACGGGTTAATTTCGATTTATCTTCTCTTGATTTACGCGTGCAGTAAATTATTAAATCGCACGCGAAGAAACGGTTCGTGTTAACCTCTGACTATAACGAAACGTTTTCCTAAGATTTTCTATTGATACGTTCACTGCTGTAGGGATCACTAGTGAAAATTAAATAAAAAGTTTAATATATCGAATACGTGCTTAAAAAAAAAAGAGAAAGTAAAATAAGAAAAATTGAAGGTTCAAATTGAAATATTAAATAATCTATCATGTTAAGGATAGCAAAAATTAATTTTTAAACTAGAGACACGGATGACTGCTATGTTAATTAACATGCTAATTCCAGTTAGACACGGTATGTATGTTTAATCTTCTAACGGGTCTCTTTTCACGAGATCTTGTTTTATCAAAGCATAATTACATCTGAATATCTGCTGCTTTCACGTTATGTGTGTACCTAATTGCGAAACAGGTGCACACGACCCATGACATTTAATAATTCGACAAGCTTCGTGAATTTACATTTAGCGATTGTAGCTGTAGAATATTTAAGAAGAAGCTTTAATAGCATTCATTAACGTGAGTAAAGAATACTTAATGAGCATACCTACGTCGAAAAATCCACCTCTAGGCTCATAAGCAATTTTTGATTTTGGCCAAAGATAAATTACTTGCCTCCATATGGCTTGGAAACAAAGGATTAAATTATCATATTCTTACTTTTATGTCTACAAATGATATTATACACGTCCTGTCTCCATTTTTACACAAAACACTATAATCGTGCTTATACATATACACCTGTTCATTCATTAAAAGATTTAATTATCGAATGATGATGCTGGGTCAATTACCGTTCAGATATTTCAATTTTTGCTAAAATTTAGGAAATGGAAACGCAAAAAGATCTATACCTAACAGGACCAAAAGTCTAAAAACAATTTAGATTCTCTAATTTTTCACCCACTTCAATTGCTATTCAAACACGATCGGACTTACATAATAATTGTTAGAACAAAATGCAAAAACACCGGTATAACCAGTACACATGGCTTTCGCTTTCCCCATAGATTAAATTGTTTCTTTTTTCGCAAAATTTTTGCGCAACACTTTTACATAGATTGCATGTTTGAACGCGAAACTTGTAATTTCAGAAAAATAGGTAAACCTTGCAGATAACAAGGCGCTAACTGCTGGAAGCTAACTTTTCCGTATATTGATATACAACGAATCATTAACTTAGACTATGTTGGCCAGCAAAAACAGCTTTCACAGTAGCATGACTCAAGATATCGGTCTTTAGTTACTCTATTATTAATGTGCAGTTACCACTTTACAGATTTCAGTTAAATGCACCATTTAATTCGAATAATAGGTGCATTTGTTACAGGCTTGATTGTGTAAAAACAGGAATAAAGAACAGATAGGAACAGTGATTGATTCGATGAAAAACACGAACCTATATTTCATTTTCTTTGCGCAATTATGAAGAAGAATGTTGGAATGAAGAAAGTCGTAGTAAATCCTTCTACTAATTGAAAGATAAGTTATTCTATAAAAAGATATGTTCATCCTATGATGAATGTTTAAAATTTCTAAACAAATTACTTATTTTTAAGTTGAAAGCCCACCCTGAGTAAAAGAAAGAGTTAAAAATGAATTTTCTCCTCCTGTTAACTGCACTTATTAAATTGACCGTGTCACTTAATTAGTGTAAGCTAATCTAGAGTTCAAAATACCCCAATTTAAACAGAATTTCTTCAACCAGAAAATAAAAATGAAGCCAACTTCGATTCCCACAGTATTTCTCTTTGGCAATGGAAATGAAGTAGAGAAAGGTTTACCTAAGTCACCCTGTACACAAAAGAGAACGTTAATGGAGGTCTGTTGTGATCGTCACCCAGTATATGTCGCGCGGAGGAAGTTAGTAACAAGAAGAACCGGTCGACTAGTACAGTAACCGTTTCGTATCTGTCATTTTTCCCCAGACCGATACCTGCTCCTCGTTCGTGTTCCCTTTATCCTCTTTTCCGTCTACCTTTCACCAGTTCCACCGATTAAAGGTTCACCATTTTCTGTCGTGAAACAACAATGAGATCGTTGGTGCCCCGATCGATTTCGTGGATACACGCGAACGTTCTTCAATCTAAATGGAAGAAAGTCGAGTACACGTGAGACCACTTAGAACTCGGTTAACGCCAAAGAGTTCTGAAACCTGAAGCAAAGTGGATAGGCGGGTTTTCTATCGGCGACTCTCGATACGAGAAAAACTTGTCGCGATCGACGTTCACCCTTTGCGCTTTTCTACTTCAACTACCTCGAAGATCCACCTCGACGTTCCGTATCAACGTTCCTTTGCCAAAGGTGATTCGACGAATTCGAGGCGTTAAGAAGGGTCCAGAAACGCATCTGGACTCTCATAACTGTGCCAGGTAACGGTAACGAAAGTAAATCACACACAGTTTCATACAGGTTCTCCATAACGATGGTTCGTTCGATCGAACGACCGCATCAACGGGTTAGATTTCAAACCGCGGATCTGCGAGGGAAAAAATGGGAGAATATTCGCGAGAAAGCAGGCAACCGCAACCAGATAAATTGCAACAGCATTGATTGAGATATAATCGGTCGAAACGATCTCGTTACAATCTTTCCTGCTTTCTAATTAACGGTAACCCGGAAGGGAATACCTTTTCGTGGATCACGCTAACTTTCGCGGGATTTTCAGAGTAACATTAGCTACATAAACAGAGTGAATTAGCACGGTAAGCTAATAATATAGTTTCAAAGCACGGAATATCGATAAGGAAAAAATGTATTATTTCACCCGAGGGTGAACGATGGAACAGCGGTTTAAGTGGCTTTCAGCGCAAAGACTAGATTTCCGATACTTCGCGAGTCACTCCGGAAATTGAATGAATCTCGAAATTCAAGAGTTCACGGTAGCTCTTAACAACGCTGATGGGAGAATGAAACACAAAGGGAACGGTCCTTTTGGGTGAATTGCATTAAATCCGATCTGCCCTCCATAATTTTCTATAATTAATTAGATCGCGATAACGTTTGAAGTCACGGAGAGAAAAACACCTGTACAAGTTTCTTTATGCACCTGATGACAGTATCGATTACTAACTTCTCGCGACTGGTAATTAAGTAGTTCAAATATTAATGTAAATAATGTTAATTTTGTTTTCTCTTTCTATCGAAAATTTGCACTTCTGGCATTTACATCATTCGTTATTTCGACTCTATAATTACAACTGTAACCGTGTATAAATACAGATAAGAAAAGGAACATCAGTGAAGTGAAAATACATGGTTCTGATGATGTGATTTGCATTCGCATCTGGAACCAAGTTTTGCGACAATTTGCACGCATGATTAACTGAACTCATCGAGATACGAGCGCATGAGAGAGTCTCTTTATAATATTAATAAAAACTGTTACTGAAACACGTAACGACACCGTTCGTATCTCGTTATAATCGCATTAAGGCTGATGCACTTAATCGAGGCGAGAGAAATTAGTAATGAGGTCGATTGCGTAAGAAGAGAATCGTGCATGTAATCCGACGTAAAGACTTCTGGTACCAAAATTGGTACTAAAGTCGAATTGGTTATATTAAAAAATTAATTTAAAAAAAAAGGAAAGATAGGAGAGAAAATTTATTTTTCTATATTTTATACCTATATATGTATAAGCAAAACGCTGTAATCTTTCAGTTTCTATGTATGGTTAATTTGGCGTTAAAAAAGATGCACTATTTCTGCAGTTGTAATTAAAAGATGCACGCTGTATTTAGTTACAGTGACCACCACTTACAGCATGCTCAAAGCCGGATCGAGAAACGAACGATAAGAAACACGCAACGAAATCAAATGGCATAACGTGTGAATTTCGTTGAAAAATTTTATTGGAATTTTGTACTTTAAATCGAAGCATTTTTTAATTCTCTATAAGAAGATATTGAGTTCTTGAGTGAACAATTAATTGATTCAAAAGATATGTTAGGGAAAGGTAAGTACTAATCAATTTTAGACCTTATAGACTCTTATAGAGAATAAGAAGATTAATCGTCTAAGAAATATGTAATTCCATTTAAAAAAGCGAAAGTGAACTTGAGATCTTTGAAGCGCCTCCTTCCGGAGACGATAGATGGATCACGTGACGCCATTTAATTTCGCCTAATGAGATTTTTCTCTACCTTATATTATTTTAGAATTATAACTTAGCTTAGTTACACGGAACACCATGTATACTCCAAAGCAAAGTTGTACTTACCATGACTGCTATGAGCTAGTGTATATACGTCGATGTGTGTATGCCGGTATCACCTAATGCCGCCGAATGTTGTTGGCCGACTCGAGCATGTTTACAACGTAGCCGGTAATATCATTGAATCTTGAACGAATTCGTTGCGATTTAAAATCTTCGTGTCACAAGATGTCAACAGTTCAACACAATTCACCATATGTAAACACACACACTCGTCTTTTATAAATACGCGTAAAATCCTGCGTACATCAGTATGCGCGGTCTTGTGCACTGTTATCGTGACTGCACGTGAAAAACACGCCCGGATGTGCTTCTGACAATACAAAGTAAACGCGACGCACCGGGAACCAATGTTTACCGCGAATTTAAAATAGCGAACACTTTAACGAACATTGATCGAAATTACTCGTAAACAGTGTATGCTTCGCTGCATCTTACGTTTCCTCTGGTGACGTTTTTCGCGCGTTTTTTATAGAAACATTAAGAAATCGCGACGAAACGAACGGGAGAAGTCACGGATTTTCAACCTGGCGGACACCGACTGAGCTCTCGACCGGCAGGTAGGTGAACCATTGCCCTCCCACCATTCTACCGCTACAGCCGCTCACCGTTCTCCATTCTCTTTCCCTTTGCTTCAATTGGCTCCGTCTCCTTCTTTCATTTTCCGCGCTCTTAGAATCGGTAGCTTTTAGATTACGCAATTAATTTATTTTACTATTGTATTTCATTTATTTCGGAATAATTTTAATATTTTACTCTTACTAAAAATATTTTTTCTTGAAAAAAATAAAAAGAATTTTTATCGAATAATCGATGTACTCTTGTTAATATCGGTTGAATTAAAAGGACGGGTGAACGATAAAAATGTAACAAAAGAATTTAATTTTATATCGTAATTATGTAACATTTTATTTATTATTCAATATTTAATGTGACTCTAAAATTACATTATCGTCTGGTTCTTCTACCGGTTCTTCAGTTTTCTTTGGAAGGTATCCACTAATGTCGATTTTAAAATATTCGGTTGATGGTAAGCTCGAAACTTGAACTCTATAAAATATATATTTTTAACGCTTTAAAAATACATCTTTTAGTTTAGTATTTAACTATATTAAATAAAAAATTTAATATGTTGCAAGTACCTTGCTATAAAAGACTCTTGATATTTAGATCCTACAGAGTAAACATTAGTAATAATAGCAGCAAGGTTTTCATCAAGATGTGTTGTATCCATGTTAAGCTGCCAAGTAACCACAAAAATTGATTAGAAGTGTGTTGTATGATGTTTCGAAATATTGTATTATAAATTTACCTTGCCAAAGGGCACATTAATTTGACCATAATCTTTGTGATCTACATCTGGTATTGCCGAATACCTGGTGGCATTCTTAAACTTCATAACTAGTTTATGCATGTCATTGCCTAAGTTACCTAAATATTTCAATTAACATCTGAATTAAATGTTCATAAAAGACAGAACTATATTGTCAACTAACATACCTACATACCTACTTTCGTATTTGGAAACTTTCTTTTTAATAAACCCCTAACTAACAGTAACTCAGTCAAAATATCTACATGAGCTACTATATAGTCATACTCCTGAAACTCGAATCTGCCAGCCTATAATCAGTGATACTATATTTCTATGTTTAATGATCACTTTCATATCATATTTTGCTTACTTGAATTTGCTTTATTATTTCAGCACCACCAACAATTGCAGCTCCAGCTTTCTCAGCAAGTTCCTGCTGTTCAATATCCTTAGATAAAGCTAAAATTTTGAACCCACTATCGCCAGATTTAAATGGATGCGGTGTTTCAACTACATTTGAGAATTTATCAATATATTTATTTCTCTTCGCGAACTATTGTAAATAATAAAGTAAAACAATTTTATTAAACAAGCAAACAATGTTAATTTATATTACCATTAATATAAATTCGTATTACCTTCATATTTAATTCAATAAATGCATTTACATCTGCATTAGGTTCATTAAACATAGTTGGATGATGCGTTTCACGATGAAATTCTATAGCCTCTTTTAAAGAATATATTGGTTGTGGATGAAACTTCATTACGTACACATCATCAGTTGTTGATTTTTTCTGACTATCATCTATTAAAGATAATGGAGAAACTTTTGCTTTTACTTTCCTATTATTAAATTATTTAAATGATTATTCATCCATTATATAACAATTTTTCAAAATAAATAACCAAAAGTACTTACTGTTTTTTAAGTTGCTCAGGTGGAACATATCCTATTTTCTCAATTGCCTTTTTAATTTTTTTCTGTTTAGCTTTTTCTCTTGTACCTTTCCTCGCAGCATAATCTCGTGTTTGTACAAATATACGGGAATATACATTGTTTCCAATATTATGATTGTTCGCCACTCGAAGACTATTCAACCATCCTATACATGTCATATTATAATTATAAAAATAAATAATAAATGGATATCGTTACCTTTTAGATTAAGAACACAATACTATATGCGAATATATTTTTGTTAAACGTTTGATGTAACATGCCCTCATTAATACAACTATACCACTTGGAAGGAATCAATTGTTAATGAAATAAAACAATAAAATTAAAAATACTTACCCGCTAACATTTTTACTATTTTGTATTAAGTTAAATGCACGCTAGAGATATTAAATTTTTGAATATCAACTAATGATTAAAATTCTGAAATACATGTGCTTAAAAAGTAATGAATTTCAATTATCATACATGTTTTTACTTTCTGTTTTTAATAACATTAATGTAAAAGAATTGTTTTATATCTTTAATGATAATATCAATGACTACAGAAACAAAGAAGACATGATTTAGTTCTCGAGGTGTCTAGATTTGAGGGGTTTCAGATAGCCCCAAATGATGACATCGGGGATGTCAGGGACCAGGGACCTCGAAGCACCAATGATACTCTTTGCATACCGACATTATGGCATCAGGGGTATCAGGGATCCCGCAGCTAAAATGTGCGACCCATAGACTTTCTATAGAAAAATTGAAACCTCTATAACTTTTGATTCCGACCACTTAGCGCACAAATGCAACTGTAATAAAATACTGATCGTTGTTGGTATAGCAGGATGTGATACGGAAATGGTAAGCCTCCAGACAGTGGGACAGAAATTTATATGGTCTGATAGTTCTATCTTTCACCTCGTCTGTGCTATAACGTTTTAGTAATTATTATAAATTCAGAATAGAAGAAAGTAAAAGAATCAAGCCTGTGGTATCAATATAGATGCAAAACAAGAGCTGTGGGAATAGAATAAAATTAGAAATAATTGACCTCAAGATCAGCACTTATGAAACAGTACTATTCAAGCAACATGGCAAACGGAAGTAGACGTCATCAGTGCCAACTGCCAGCCAACTAGGCTTACTGAAGCTGTAGTTTCTATAGGAGGAAAAGTACTTTTTCTTCGTTTCCTGCGTCTTCATATATTTTTTGCGGTAGGGTACGTTAGTTCAGTAACGAAGAAACCTTTTATGCAATTGTACCATGCGAATGTTTTTTTGACCCGCTTACAATTTTATATTTTGGTGACAGTAAACGAAACAATATAAAGGTGTTATTAGTAGGTGTGATCTGGTAAGTCTGTTATATTTTAATTGTAATCGTCCACTAATCATATGCTACGTTCCATTCTCATCCTTATTATAATAAGCACTGCTGATTTGATGTTTAGTTTTATATAAATCTGATAATGTTTCTTACTCATGGTTTTTCTATAACACATCTTATTGCAATTTATATATACACTAAACTTAATTAAGAATGTACCAAATTTAAAAACCATATCATGGTTTTACACTACAATTACTTGCACCTGATAATTTTGTCAACTCATTGTTGCAGAGTCATTCAGTAGTTAGTATACAGTGGATATAAGTTCCATTTATATCTACAAATATGTTCATTTGGGACTGGTTTGCAGGTGTCCTGAATTATCTTGGTAAGTACAATTTTGATAAATTTTAAGGTATGTTATTGATTAGAGGAAGTTAAATTTTATAAAACTATTTTGGTATATTGGCAGCAGTTTCAAATCATTAGTTTGCACAACATGGAATCTTCATTTTTAATTTCAGGACTGTGGAAAAAGAGTGGTAAACTCTTGTTTCTTGGTTTAGATAATGCTGGCAAAACCACTTTACTTCACATGCTCAAAGATGATCGATTAGCTCAACATGTGCCTACATTGCATCCAAGTAATTAATATTAAAATACTTCATATATATGTTTATTTAAAATTAAATTAAAATATATTAATACAATTTTCAGATATTTCTTTTTAGGGATAGTTGATTAATTATATTAGAGTTATGTATTTTATAATAGTATTGCATGTATTTTTATGCTTTAGCATCAGAAGAACTTTCAATTGGAAACATGAGGTTCACAACATTTGATCTTGGAGGGCATCCTCAAGGTATGAAATATCTCAAAGATATCAATCATAGGTAAACCATACATTTATTGAAATTATATATTACAGCACGAAGAGTTTGGAAGGACTATTTTCCAGCAGTGGATGCAATAGTATTTCTTGTTGATGCAAGTGATAGGTCAAGATTACCAGAATCAAAAGCTGAGTTTGATGCATTGTTAACTGATGAACAACTTAGTGCATGTCCAGTTTTAGTGCTAGGTAACAAAATTGATAAACCAGGTGCAGCATCAGAAGATGAGCTCAGAAATTACTTTAATCTTTATGGTCAAACAACAGGAAAGGTATATTGAATAGATCATTGTATTCCATTTTAAATACAGAAATAATATGAAATAATAAATTTCAGGGCAAAATTTCACGCAGTGAACTGTCGGGTCGTCCATTGGAATTATTTATGTGCTCAGTGTTGAAAAGACAGGGATATGGTGAAGGCTTCCGTTGGCTTGCTCAGTATATTGACTGAATGTATGAAGTAATTTAAATACTCAGATTTTGGCAGTTTATTATGTTTCCCTTTCCTCTGTTTCATACTGAATGTCAGTACAGAGGTGTATTATCCTTTAAGTGAATTGTGCAGTAGGGAAGGAATATTGAGATATGAACTGCAGTAACAGGTTCAAAACAGTGCAGATATGTAAAGAAGATAACATCTCAAAAACATAATATGACAAGTACGATAGCGACTAATTTGTTTCATTTTAATATGGGGAGCCTACATGGTCTATATGAATTTTTTAAATTCCATACATGTTTGGTGAATTTCTATAATTTCGCAAATCACATTATGGAAGTATCTGACATGCTAAAAAATGATATAAACGTTTTGATAAATAAAATAATAAACTATTTAAAAATTTCAAGTGTTTTTCATAGTTATTTTGTATAACAAATTTTTCTGTTGCGCAGGAAATATTTTACATGTACATGCTTTAACATCAACATTTGTTTTATATATCTTTCAGGAAATCAACGGAATGTGTTGAGTGTACTTAGTTTCAAACTTTTTACTTTAAAATAAAAACATTTGTAAACATGATAAGGGATGTTTTTTGTAATAAATTTTTGTTGTTAATGAAAATTGTTAATAATTTTAACGAAAAAAAGCAATACGAAGTATTATTTACGAGAATACCGGAAGTTAGGGGCACGCGGGAACCGGAAACTTCGAGCACCAGATGATCGAATCGAATCGGATCGAGATTTTGATTTTTAAAATCACGTTTCGTGAAGAGCCTTGTTGAACACGACTGTGGATTAGAAGTATTCATAAAAACTATTTAATACTGATAATATTGTTAGATTAAACAGAACAAAATTATTACACGATAATATCGCGAAATATTCTCAAAAACCCGACTTCAAGTAAAGTTCTCAACTCGATCAGATTCGATATTCTTAAATTCTTACACGTTCCTACTGAAAATTAATGATGTATTTCATTGTATAAAATTGTTGTTATATTTGAGGTCACATTTTGGTAACAAGGTTTTAAGGTATCAAAAATGTCTTGTAAATTAACATAAAACTAAAATTGTCTACATATGTAAAAATTATTACATAGGGTATATAGATCTGTTTATGTAAACTTCTTTTTAGAAAATTAATGAAGAATAAAAATTTTAGAAATTATATCTTTTATATATTAATACAGCAATTACTTTTTTCGCTATTTTACGTTAATAAAATATCGTTTTATATCCAACAGAACTTTGAATAGAACTTTTGTTTGTTGTACAATTTCCTTTAGGACAATTTTAAAATGATAATTCTCGTTCCTGAGAAAGTTTGGCAAATTTTTGGTTTATATAAGTATCTGTTACTGCATCTAAAGTTTTTGGGTTCCAATTTGGTTTTTGATCTCTATCAATCAAAACAGCTCTAATACCTATAAAAAATGAAACTTAAATACTACTTCAATTGTAACTTGTTTAAAAATGTATGAATTCTTAGGATTTATTTAATTAGTACCTTCAGATAAATCGCTATCTTTACTTAAAGCAGCACAAACTAATCTAAATTCCATCTTTAAACAATCTGCTAAACTTAAGGTGGCTCCTTTTTGAATTGCATTTAAAGCAACTTTCAAGGAAGTGGGAGATGCTTTAAACAACATCTGTAATGTTTTTACTGCCCATTCTGAATTATCCTGCTTTAATCTTTTGAAACAACACAAAAAAGTATTTTAAAGTAAAAATACTAATTTTCTTAAATTAATTAGGTTAATATACCTTTCTATTATTTCTTCTATGGAAGGAGCAGAGAAACACTTATCAATTTGATTCATATATGGTGTTAAGCTAAATTCTTGATCTAATTTTGTTGGTTGATATTTAGTCAAGATATCATTAACATCTGACTGTTCAGTGGTCAATAAATCTTGTTTTAAATCTGGTAACTTCTCAGAAGGAACAAAGTGTGTTGCAATACCAGCAAATAACACATCAACTCCTTCAAACATAATATGAAACTTATAAAATATTTAAACACAAGAAAGTCCAATTTCTTAATCATTTTTTATACCCTTTAATCGATCTCCAGTTAATCCAAGATAAAGACCCAATTTGCCTTTTAATCTAGGTAAAAAATATGTCCCCCCAACATCAGGGAATAGCCCTATTGCTGTTTCAGGCATTGCAAATAATGTTTTCTCTGTTGCAATTCGATATTTCCCATGAACAGATAATCCAACTCCACCTCCCATAGTTATTCCATTTATTGCAGCTATATATGGTATCTTATATGTACCAATCAAGTAGTTTAAGCTATATGGAACACATATAGAACTGATTATTTATATATATTGTAAATGTGTTATATGCATATCATATTATGGAATAACTTTTATAACTTACGTATATTCTTTTTTAAAAAATGTTTCACCTAAAGTAGCATTGTTTTCTTTTAAAGCAAGGAAAATGCTTTTTAAATCACCACCTGCACAAAATGCTTTTTCACCAGATCCTTCTATTATTACTAATTTTTTAGATGATTCCCATTTTTTAAGTACAGGATATATTTTTTCAACCATTGATACATTCAAAGCATTCAAGGCTTTAGGTCGATTTAATACTATTATGCCTTTATTTCCAATCTTATTTGATAAAAAAACATCATTAGTATCATATTATATCATGATATGCAATTCATACTTATGAATGTACATACATCTTTCATGACTACATCATCTTCAACAGATACTTCAGTTTCTTTGTCCATAGATGTAACTCTACTAGGTACTGGAATTTCAATCATAGGTTTAGAATCTGGTTGAGGTTGAGGCTGAGGTTGGGACTGAGGAAGAGTAGGTTCAACAATAGGGCCTAAATGTGGAGAACTAATATATTATCAAAACTTAGTTAATAAATTTTTATCCAATCTCTATAAAATATTTAATCATTAACTGTTATTAACTATTATTTTAATTACATTAATAAAATTAATTAAAACAGATAGTTCTTAAAAACCTGGTATTTCTACTACAGGAATTTGTGGAAGAGGTGGCACAGTTGGAAACGGTGTTGATGGGATTGTTTCATCTGGTAAGATGATTGGTTTTGGATTTCTATTACCTAATTTAAAACCTACATTCTTACCTGCACCTGAAGTTTGTGCTGATAAATATCTAAAAGCACTAATTGATGTACCATTTATAGTACTTAGTTTCAATGTACCATTTTTCATCTATTTAAAGAAAAAACATATTAGTTTTGATTTTATATCATTGCATATATGTAAGTAATAATTACCATTTTTGCAGCTCAATATTTCTTATATGTTGGTGCTATAAATTAATAAAAGTGTATAATTTGTTAATGCAAGTATTAATAAAATATTGCAGCACAAACTAATCAGGTATAGTAAGCTATTCAATCATACAGGTTATAGAATGTTACATAATTACACTTGGTAAATGTGGAGATATTCTTTTTTTTTTTTTTAATGTATATGACGTAAATAGCAAATGATAATTAGAGATTTCGTAATAACGTAGTATTTTACACAGTTGGAGATACTAATATTGCATTGAAAAATTATTATTAAAATTATTATTATTATATTAAAAAGTTGTTAAAATGTAGTAGAACAAATTATTTACGCATAGCGTTAATTATATGTTAATTAATCATTATTATATAATATAAACATAAGAATTTAACATCTTAAACTAAGGCTTATGGTTTGTTTTGTTGTATGTTGAATTTATTTAATTTTGCAAGGTATAATTAAAAAATTTAAACGAGGATGTAGTTTATTCATATACAAACAGTAGTTATAATAGAATTTCATTTAGTTTGTCGTATTCCGAATTATGCTGATGCATTTCTGTAATTTATAAAAATTCTTCGGTTTCTATACTACAAAATAAATTCATATTTTCGTGCTAAAATTTTAACGCTAGTGCATTTGGGTACTGGCAGTTACACCAACTTATTTGTAATCTTTTGTATTGCAGGTTCAGTCTATCAATCGTCCTAAATAATTTGGAAAACACCGCAGAAAAATGATCATTGAGACATTTAAACACATTAGCATACTCAACAGGCATGTATTGGGTATGCAGAAAACTAACATACGTTGTTTTAGTCTTTCAAACATTACAAAAGGCGTTTTCAAATACTTTAAATCTCAACCTCCAACGCCCCCATACAACCATGTTTGTCAGGCTGGCGACCCTGTCTTACGTTCAAAAGCGACACCAGTCGACCCGAAGGAACTACAGACGCCGGAGTTTGAAAAGGTACGCTCTACATTTTTGCAAATTTATTCCAAAAAATCGAGTAATTCCTTTCCATTTGTACTACAAACAACTTTAAAACTGTCTAGCTTAAACTTCTACTTACTCTTTTACACATATTTAGTCTTAATTGAAAGATTTCACGATTTCGGTAAAACTCAATAATGTATTCGAATTTAACATTGTATGTGGATATTCTACAAGAAATAAGGAAATTGTATGTAAGCTGTGATATTGTTTATTGGAAAGGAATTATTATGTTTAATTGTTCAATATAATTTTCTCTTACAAATGACAATTATTTTATACACAAATAAATAAAATACGCATTCCGTGTATGTGCTTCCCCCTTACAGCTACTTGATCAACTATACAAAGTGATGCGAAAATACAAAATAGTCGGAATATCAGCGCCACAAATCGGTGTTTCTTTACAAGTATTCGCTATCGAAGTAATGAAGGAAAGTGTAAAACAACTCGATCCGGCATATGTAGAAGTTTGCGAAATGGAACCCGTTCCATTAACGTATTTTATTAATCCGACAATGAAGATAATAAACCCAGAAAAAGTTACGCTTGTCGAGTCTTGCGGAAGTCTTATTGGTTACCAAGCGGAAGTAGAAAGGGCGAGAGAAATTGAGATCAAAGCTTTAAATCGATTGGGAGAACCATTTTGTTGGCGAGCTAAAGGATGGACAGCTAGAATTGCTCAACACGAATTTGATCATCTAAATGTAAGTCATTTTCACATTATTATGATTTTATTTTGTTATTTTTGTTTAAACTGTTGATTGACGTATTTCCAAGGGATGTTTAGCAAATGCTTTGAGATTGATATATTATAAGTATTATTCTGCATCGTTACGGATTTTTTTAAAATCATTTGCATAATAACAAATTGTTCAGATAGAAAGTCTTTTTGCAATAATTGAGTTCATAATAAGAATTTTATAAGATATAATTAAGATTTCTATTTTAAAATAATTAAGATTATGAGATATAATTTATAACATTTATCAATCGTGTTACGGACGATATGAAAAAAAGAGTATAATTTTTTTATTGCCAAGAAAATAAGATGCCTTAAGATTAATAAATATTGAAAGTGTACAAGTATTTATGCAGAATTGCTTATATTCCAGGGTATTCTTTATGTAAATAGAATGAATCCATCAACATTTGATTTTTATTATTGGGAGGAATTAAATGCAAAGAAGGGAAAGGTCCAACTCAAATATGTAGGATAATTATTATAGCATTTATAACAGATTTCGACATATTATTGATGGTCGAGTTCTTAACTGATTTACTTGATCTCTATTACAACTTACCCGCACTTTAAAAAATAAATTTTTTAAATTTAATTAAAATATTTATACACTTATGTATAAGATGTAAAGATTAAGAAATGAGATTGGGGTACAGAATTTAGTTGAGATACAATTGAATAAATATTTATTTAAAAAACGTTCATAAGACGCTTTCCGTGTTTATAAAACTATAGTCTACCTATAGGTACATAAAAATTAAAATTAGAGCTGATTTGAAGTTAACTTGAAAAATGAGTAGTCTTAAACTTTTTGGATTTTGAAAATCGTCTTATAATTAAATGTTTGAAATAGTTCAGAAGGTTTATTATTCGATTGTTTTGTTGTTCTGAAATTTGTTCTTTTGGGATACTATTATTTTAGCAATAGAATTGAATCTTTAATAAATATTTGCCAAAGTCGTATAACAGCAGAATTCCGATCATTATAATGAAATATAAATTACGATTCTAAATCACTAGAACTTTTATAGAGTGAGTCACCTATCTTGATTATTTCATTTTTTTATTTAACAAGAAGTTTTCTATTAATTTGAAAAACGAATTTGTTTTTTTCGAGAAGCTAAGAATTTTTATTTTTTAAAACATTTAGAATTCTAATTTCAATAAGTTGCAAGTTAAATTTAAAATAATTAACAATTAATCTTATATATAAAGCAAATTCAAAAATAAAATCTACGTTATCAAATATTGTATGAAATCAATAAAAAATCATATGATAAGCTTCTTGAAATATTTATTATATCGCAGATTATCTTAATAATCCAAGATTAATCCATTACCATGTCCAGATGCCTCACCCTATATGTACGTATATCCCTAACAAATATTTCATACGAAACATGTACAGTATCAAGCACAGTACGCTTCCATTGAGAAAATGACGTTACAAGGGAGCCAGAAATTCTCAAAACCTTCATTTTGACGATATTAATATTAAAAGTCATTTAGAAAAAAAAATCGGGAACTCTGGGGAGCCTCCGGAAAGGGCCGAAAACTCGGAAATTTGGGTAGGGAGATGTATGAGAACCCTACCATGCTCGGTACTGTACAAATCACAATAGCTATCTTTATTTTCATATTCATATATTTTTCTCTCTTCATTTTTATTGTGTTTCCTTTAATTGGAAGTACAATTAAATTGAGGAAGCATTTTTCTACAAACAAAAGCCTCTTACATCGATATTCACATAGTTTTGTACATATCGAATAATGTACTCATCTCTTATCGTATGAATATTCCTTTTTTTTTGTTCATTACATTCAGTATAATCACGTATACATGTATATTCAACTAGTATATTAAAAAGCGTTTGTTTTTCCCAGAGTATTTTTGCTCCGCGTTATAATACAGCTGAAAAGCTAAACCAAAAGTTGAAAGTTTTTTCCTAATTAATTTTCTTCAGCTTTTTGAAGGAAATATGAGTCGGGGGAGGAATTTTGGTTTGCTTTTATTTCTTTTAATGAGAAGAAAATAGAACAGGTATTATTATGACATACTTCTAAAGAATTTGACGAATGAAAGAATTTTTAGTCTGTAATATTACAGACACTACACGTTCCATTTATTTCTGCAAAATAATATTTTGTACTAATTGATTGATTCGTTCCTGTGATGCTTAATTACAAAAAATTAGTAAGTTCAACATATATTATTAAGCATCTATTTACTAATAGGTAGATTTGTGCGTTTTTATAACAAAGATGTTTATTTTTTGTGATTGTAGAAAGGAATAGTATATTTGTATTTTTATTTATTTTTCGTTTATCTTTTCTAACGCGATACCGATTCAAATGAATTATTATTGAAAAGTATTGAGTTTATCCAAGGAAGTATCTTCTGAAATAGGAAATATTTTTTGTTGTCCGGTGAAAATCAGTACAAGGTTGATCACGATTAACGATACACAGTAGGAACACTAAGTTTAATCAATTAAGCATTTTACCATTTACAAACAAGTAGCACGCGTTCGATTAACATATTGCACACTGTCGTTACAAATGTTACGCAATTGCTCGTTTCTTGTTCAGCATCAAACGAAATGTTTCATTAATAGCAGATAGCTAGATCATTGGTCCGTTATTGTGTTTATACATAGATCGAACGACGAATAGCAACAGATAATCTAATTTTTCATATCAAACAGAAGAAATAGATATACAATTAATTGGTGGATATGAAAATACTTGAAAGCGATTACCTGTCGTCATTGTGTCGTTTCAAAGCTCGATTCAATGGTAATTTACACCAAGATAGATACTTTGATTTTTAATATCTAATCGACGAACTGAGTCAACGATATTTGAGCTTTCGTTTCGATCACCATATTCCATTCTCCTCGATCCTTTATTTCAGTTGCATCGAGGATGAATCTTGAAGAGGTCCGCTGCATAGGATATTTTACTCATATCCAGGTATGTACTCGTTGTTGTTCAGGATTTTCCTCCTCTTGTCAAGACACGTGACCCTTGGTCTGCGAGGTTTTCCATTTTCTCCCACGATGATGGGCCAGAAATCGATCGTTCCCTCCCCTCGATGATTGCTGGTACAAAGGTATTCGTGCCGTGCCTATTAAAATTAGAAATAGGGCTTGTTTGCGTCGACACATCGTTTCTTTCGAATCGATTTCTAAGATAGAGCATTCAAGTATATTACAAAGATTGTATGTGTGTGGATATCGATTCATTCATTGTTATGTGGGAGATAGGGATGGGAAGTGTTTGTGAATGATGCTTTTGTTTATTCTTTGGTAGTGCAATTTTTGTTCCTTTTAGGGTAATGATTTTAAGATGAGACAAAGTAACAAGGACTCTCGAATAAACCTTACTAGGTTTAAAGTTGGCGATCTAATTTTTAATTTCTTTTGCATTAGAATAGTTGAATTTAGTGCGTACTCAAGTGCAAAGTAGGCTTCCTTTAGTTAAGGGTAAGAGCAGGGGAAAGAGTTTTATATTGTTTGCTTTCAATTTTGGGAAAACCTATGAAAAACCTACCCTCTTGGTAAGGGTACGTATAAGAGGATGAACCCTCCACCATTAGAATATAGTTTTAGGTAGGGCTTAGGGAAAGCCTAACCAAAAGAAGCCTATGTTGCACCCTCGTGTAAAGCTACAACTGGTACATTATTATCACAAAATTCAATTTCTTCTACCTCATTTTTTTGTTCTTTTTTCTTCAATATTCGTATAACATAACTTCAAGCTCCCATATGTTGTTCATGAGTTTTGAATATCGTCCAATGAAAGGTGGTGCCAGGGCCTAAAATGTGTACCCTGTTATGCAGTAAATCAATCTGTATTTAAACTTTCAAACACATAAAAATTATAAATACTTCTTACTTAGCTATGAGATTACAAAGAAATGATAGAAATCATAGTATTAATACAGGAACACATATAGAACATAATTTATAACAGCTAAAGTACAAAATATTTATGAAAAGAATGTTAGTAAAATTAAATATACAAAAATACAACTTATGGTTAAATACACAACGTATCAAAATGAATATTTTAGGCCCTGAAGTGTAATGACTAGGAGTATGCGGGTATCCGAAAGTTTTAGATCGGATAGAGACACAAAAGCGTGTCATGTAGCCAAAATGTTTCGGATACCGGAAGTTTCGACGCGTGATCCGGAAATTATTGAAGTCCGTATGAAACTTCTAGGGTAGATACTGAAAGTTTGAATCGGTCAAAGTTGATCTAATTTGTAATAATACAGAGGAACTGTTGAAATATGGCAGTTTTTATAAACTACCAAATTGAGTTTATTTTTTATTTTTATTTAAGCAGAAAAGCGCCGCATCGATTTTTCAAAAATTAAGTATCAGCTAGACTCAATCCAATACTGTATATTCAGCTCTTAAGTGATTCCTATGATTCCAAAATCCCGATAATTTAAGAACCTGAGCAGTTCTTATGAATTCTGATAACTTTCGGATCCCTAACCGAACTTATCCGATTTTCTTCGACCCGTCCCGACTCTAGGGCATCTTCAACAGAAACCTATCCGTACACTCCTAGTTTAATTCCGATCGTTCTACACAATTCCGAGTCCATGTAACATTCGCCTTCGTAAAGTCAACAAATCCGATTTGTTTTTTTTTTTTCATTCACGTAAGCCAGTTCTCGTCGCAATAACAAACGTTCGGTCAGGCCGTTCAGTTCTTGTTATTACGTCTCGCGGCTCGCGTCGACATTGGTCTCACCAACAACGAGGCTGTTGGTGAGCACGTGCAAATCTATGTAAGAGTTTCGTGCGTTCATGTGGGCGTCGTCGTGTTCGAAGCATGACTCGCTCGTGGGTGTCGTGGACGATGTGGTGCAAGGACGTTCCAAGGAGGTGCAGGAGGACGTACCGTTCCGTGATATCCGGGTGTGCGTTTGAGGGCTTCCGGTGCAGCTGTAGCGAGATGTTAGCGCTTCTGATCGCGATAACGAGGGCTCTGCTGGCACGTTCACCCCGGGACACCAGGAGAAAAAGCGAGCGAATCCTCGTCGAAATCTGAAAGGCGTAAAATGGTCAAATTTGGTAAGTTAGAGTGCGTGTTGATTTCGGTGAAAGGATCTTTCTTTGTTCTTCATCTTGCGAGGGAAAACTAGGGTCGACAATACTGTTCTTAATTTAGTTATGCTTCGATCGAAAAATCATAATTTTCTTTAGATCTTTAATTATGGGAATATAAATTAATCTCATTTAGAGCAATTCATAGGAATTTTAGAAATTTTATTTTAAAAATATTCGTCCACCTCGTTTGACGACTTTGGGGTACTTGCGAGTCCTTTAGACGGGAATACTGATTAGTGTTTCGTATGTATTGTTCATTGTTGTGAAAATATCGTTGGTTAGGAATAGATTGTCGAGAATTATATGATGACGCTGAAAACGCAAATTGTTCAGAAACAATATCTGTGCATGACGTGTAAAGGGATTTTGGTAAATGGCTATTTTCAAATCAATCATCTGGCACCAGTTTCATTCAGTTTATAGGCGAAACAATGTTATCTGGGTTTGCCTTCGATGGTCCGTGCGGTTGTTTCATGTATATCATGCAATGAAACTGACCGCAATTAAAATGTCTGTTTAAATGGATATTTCACATGGTTGGGTAAATTAAAATTGTAAACCGATTAATTATTTTCTTGTTCATTTGAGAACGTGGCGAGTACTGTTAAAGTTGTACCTTGTATTAGGCCATCGCTAATTTTTAATAAAACAAACGAGTAGATAGACTATCGTCCATTTAAAATTCTTATTATACAATTTTTTTCTTTCTGAATTGTTTCTCATAATATTACTAAAAGAATTACACCAGGAGAGAATGTAATTATCGGTGTTTCAATGTAAGGAAACTAGGAAACTTTTGTTACAAAGTATTCGCATTTAAGAACTTTTTAATCAATTAAATTCGCTCTAAATTAAATGCTGCAAACGTCGAACTTAATTTTTCAACGACTTTCTTAGAACTTGTATCTTTTTAAAATACTTTGTTTTACGCTGTAACGTTATCAATTAATGATCGTCCATAGATGTTAGAGCATTATTTAAAGGTACTTACGTGTCGTTTGAAAATAACATTTTACCTGGAATTCATCCAGCAGTAGATTATGGGATTGTACATGCTGTTAGACATCGCGAGCCAGTAGATGCCTAAGAAAACCTCTTGGATGTATGGTTTGTTCGTGATCTCAGGAAAATATGAAACTATGATGAAATACACGTGAAATGGTAACCAGCATACCGCGAATATGACCACCACCACGATCATCATTTTTACAACCTGAAACAAGAATATTTCACAAACAATTCCGATTAATATTTGATTCACACACGTAATAGAAAATTTTAATTATAATGCCTTCAGATTTCAAAACTTCAATCATCTGCTTGTTTCAATCTGTTATTTTTCGACGAATATCAACAAAATACTGACAATGAGCTTTTAACGCGATTGTTATTGACAGAATTAGTCCACGCAACTGAAATTTTTATCAACCCAGTAAACACAAAAAATTAAATAAAAATAAACTGTTGTACTGAAACTTGGAGAGACTTTATGCTACTTACAGTTTCATGCAATCAGACCGTTTTCTTTTGTTTCACAATTAAATTGACAATCTTCTCGTAACGGTATAAAGGAACAAGTAGATAAGTAAATGTAAGGAGTTTAAGGGAGAAGAATAACAAGGTTGAAAAGAAGTTAATCGACCATTTGGAAAGTAACGTCTGATAGCGTAGAAGTCTATTTTAAACTTTGTCCCGCGGAATTCGCTCGTCATTGTTTGACTTTGGTTTGCGAAACCACTCGTCTGTAAAATTGTATCATTATGTACACGCCACAGAATGAACACACTATTTCCTGACACTCTCCTATCGAAACGCTTAGCTTCATCGTCGAGAAAATCTCTGCCAACCGGATTATCCGTGTTTGTTCGTGTAACTAGACTTCCGGGGCACATTCGTATTTTACGAGGTCGTCGATGCCCTCGGGCCATTTCCACCTTGATGCCTTTAGCTCCTCACTTTTCTCACCCTGGAATTCTCGCGAGAAATAGCGAAATTGTTTGATAGTTTCGTTGCTGGATCCTCAGTGCTCTTTCGTATATCATTATACGGAATGTGGGTACTATCAGTGGTTTCCTGGTTTTTCGTTCATTCATGGAGGTTAAACATCTTTTATGTTAGAATTTTTTTTTTAAATAACATAAGATTTTAAAGTTTTGAATATTATTGGTAATTTGTACTTTAGATTTTGTACAACTAAATAATTAGTAAAAATAGAAAAGGCAAACTTTGAATAACATCAGTGTAAGGTACAAAATTAGAAATTTTAATTTGAAAATTAATTGGTCATATCCTTAATAATTGATGTCTTAATTACTTGCTGTATTTGGTCTCCTATATTCTTTATTTATTTAAAATTTGAATAACTGTTAAGAATACAGTATGAAATTCTCCATTTTAAACATTTCTATTAGTGACTAGTAATTGCAATTGAAATGAGAATCGTCTTTAAAAGGTTTCCTGCAAGTTAGCCAAGAAATCTACAAGGCTTCCTTCTTATCACGTACGTTCTACGTATTTGCACACTATATCGCAGTAATAAAATTTCTGTTATCCACGGAACCTGCAAAATCTTTCCGCTCTCTTTATTCGATAAGTTTTAGAATTCTACTTTGTTGAATATTGAAAAATAATTCGCTCAAAATTTTATCAATATCGATGAAGGAAATACAAATAACCATTATAATTTGTTAAAGGTAAAGAAATGAAAAGAATTGAAGATAAAATACACTTTTATAAAGAATTAATGAGATCACGATAACGTGATTTCGAATTCTATTTCAATCTGTCTCTGTTTCAATCCGTCTTCATTTCAATTTAAATTCGTTCTCAGTAAATATTGGAACTTTTCTCGCGTTAACTGTTAGAATACCATGTCGGTACACTGAAAGATGGAGTAGCAATTCCGCATATAGAGGAAAACGAAGGCTCTTTGTCGCTTAATCGAAATCCAATAGGACCACTTGGGCACAGGGGAGGATTGTAGAAGATTTCCGATTACGAGAAGGTACTTGTGCACGGAATACTCCCTTAACCTTTTTCCAACTCTCATCGCCTCCATTTAATTAAATGACCGCTTGACTGACGCCGTTTCTTTTTTTTACCCCTTTACTTTCTTCGAACATTAGCTCCTTGTCGAAGGGAATTTGCTTTGAATCGTGTTTCACTGATTACACCGAGTGAAACTTGCTTTTTAGGAAAGAGTAATTGCTCAACAAGGTTCAATTTAGTACCGAATCGCGGTATGAATGGTGCTAAATTTAGGGGTGCAAAAACTGACAAACTAATCTTCCCTATTGAAAATAGCTAGTTTAGAGGAAATTAGTACTTTGTCATTTTTAAGACTTCAAACTTAGGTCGAAAGTTTTCAAATTAGGTAGATAATTAAGTAACTCTTCGGGATCATAACTACAGAAGTAGGAGGGTTGTTGGTAAGATAAAATTAATTAACGAAATAGTTAATTCATTATCGTGTCGTTAGCACTTCCTTTATTATACACTGAATCATCCTCGTTGAAATTTTGCAAAAGAGGTCAGCTAAGCTATAAGCCTAGTTACTCGAAAGGGTTGAGGGGTAGACGCATCGATGTATCGGAAGTGAAACTAGTTTCTGAGAAGGTAGGGCAACTTCGAAGACCTTCTAATTGCAAGTTATAGCATGGCTTAACGTTTAAACCAGGAACCGATGTTCTTCGTACGCTTGGATACACCATAATGCCATTTCGCGTGTTTGCGGTTCGCCTTCTAATTCTAAGCTTCGATATTTTTGCGGCTCACGTTTCAAATTAATTGGTAGGGTGTTTTTATTGCTTTTCCTGGTATGTGTCCCTATGATCGATGCCGCTTTATCAGTATACACATTGTTTAACCGTTGAAGAATTTAGTGGAAAATACAAAATCCGTAAAGTTACCTTTGTTCCTCCTAGCAGTTCATTTTAATTCTAACAAAAGGTAATTTTTTAGAAATTTGCAGAGCAGGCTTTAACCCTTTGAACTCGTATGTCATAAGTTTTACCGCTATACATTAATTTACTTTGACCTAAAATAAATACAAGTGGTTGCGCAACAACATTGAAAACAAAACGAGTTCAAAGGGTTAAAATGCCTTTAGGAGTATAGTAAAATAAAAATTTATTCCAAGTGTTAACTTTTGAAATAAAAGCTGCAATTATTTTTGAAATAAAAAGAGAGCTTGTGACACCCAGCACTCCCGTTTTGTTTGTTTGATTCGCTAATCGAACGGAAATAGTAAGCACCCTTTCAGAGGACACACTCTAATCAATGGCACGACATGGAGTGGAAATGCTATCGAAGATATATTGTTGTCAGTCATCTAGTGCCTCTAAAAAGAGTGCTATATCTACTCTGCCACACCCAGCGAATTACCTATACATTAAATCTTAATAAAACCTTATTCTGACCGAACGAGAACAATTTCCTTCGTTTTTATCAGTGCGTGAAGATGAATGAAAATTATTAGTAATGCACGATAAAACGTCAATAAAGAAATGGTTCATGAATGAAATATCGTTAGGAGGACGTGATTTGAAAGTACATTCCTTGCTTTTCCTCTAGACTGCCCCTTTTATGTGTCACGAATGTCTTATCGTCCTTCGGCAGACATAGTAGAAAAAGGTGTGAAAATTCAACCTCAAACGATGTGAAAATTGTATAAAGTTAGTTAATTGAAATTGGAATCTTATGAAAGATTGGTATTCTAAGGAAACTTTGGTCTTGTGGATCGTATGATGTTATACATATTAATTATTTATTGCAAACTTCAATGATACTTCGTTATATGATATTTCAACAAATTTGATTTATTATTGAAATTTTGTGAAAGGTAATTTGCATTGTTTTTTAATTCTTAATTTTTTATATGTTACAATGAAATTAAAATCAGAGACCATAGATCTGTAGATGACAATATTTCATGTTGCAATTCATTTTCATTGATAATTGATCGCCAGCTTGATTGAGTATATGAATTTTGAACGAAAATACGTACCCTTCGTTTACTTCGTATACTCTCCAATTGTCCTGCTGTATTTTCACCGATGCTTTGGGATCCCCATAATTCCAATCCGATTCTGGCGTAGGTAAAAGTCATCGATCCAATTGGCAGAAAGTATGTCAGTACCGTAAAAATTACATTATACCTGAGAATAATACACATCAAATTTATTAAACAAAATATTAGAAATATTTCAATGAGTTGATTGTCACAGTGAAAATTGCTGTACATAATATACAATTAGTATTTTTCTAGTTTGTTTAATTTATTTTCTTAATTTGCCTGTTGTAATCTCTTTACTATTATCCATCTTAATTAGTTTTAACATCAGTTTACGGTGAAAATCAGAACGGAACAAAGGAATAAAACGATTATTTGCGTATAAACTCAACAACAAAATAACGAGGGTAGAAAAGATGATTAAAACAATTATTTGTTGAGAGAGCGATGCTGCGAGGGATGCAAATTAAGATGAAAAATGCCCAGCTGTTTAATCAAAGCAGAAAAACGAGTAATTACGTAGGTATTACACCTGGTGCACTGTTAAACGTGATTCATTATTCTGCTCGTTAATTGCCATAATGAATGGATGTAAAATGAAACTTTTGTTGGGAGAACAAAACCTTGGAACAGAGTATATGAGTTTATAAATTTTATTTGGCAGAGTTTTGTGGCTAACAAAATGAATATACCCAATTAAAATTGAGAAACATGTAATTACACATTATGATAATTAGCTTTTTGTGTAATTATATTCGAGAATGAATTACTTTTGGAAGAAACTTTTTTTAAAAGTAATCGATATTGTATATTTCATAGAAATTTCAATTATAATTCATTGAATTAAATTTCAAATTAAAATTAAATAAAAATTCTAAAGCATATTTACAAAAATTCTTGGTAATAAACGTGTATCTGCAGATTTAATTTTTTTCTTTAAAAAAGTAACGTACATCGTACTCGATGAATTTTCATTAAAAATACATTTAAATGCAGACATTTTGCTGGCATTGACGCTGTTTAATGAAACGAGCACCTCTTTTCTTGAAACTGATCAGCGTAATTACAAGTAGTAGGTACGCCGAATGAAGCTATTATTAGTTTCCCGACGAATAAAGCGTAATTACAACTTGATCCACTGGCCGGGTGTCAGTTCGTAAAATTTATCGTTTAATTAACAATGTAACGTTGCATGCAATGTTTGAAACAGAGATTGAACAGAATCAAAGCATTCGAAAATTAAACATTGTATTCAATTTCATAATCATCGTAAGCAACCATAAAAACTGATAATAAATTTCCCATTTCACGGTCTCCCGATTTCATACGTATCGTATTATGTCCTTTCGTTTATTAAAAGCCGTACAAACGTTGTGCACAGTAAAGTAAATCGGTTTTTCAATAGGATCATCGTAATAACTAGAATTCCAGTTCAATGCAATGAAAGTCTTGTACTGTTGGCAGACTATGCGTTTTATAGTAGATACAGTGACCGACAGACACAGTCGTTTATGTACCGTAAACAGAGATAATATCTGTAGCTGACAAGTACAAGGATTCCTTTTTATGCTTTTCCAGTAAACGAGATTTTCAAGTCATTTTCTTGCTCGCTTGATCACGGTCGATAGTTCTGTCTGTCTTTTAACAGTGTTCCTTTTTTACTTTTGATGTTTGTTATGCTTTTACTAATTATTGAATGAATTTTCCATTTCTTCAGGAATATATCAATACTTTGATAATCATAAGGGTCACTAATGGAATTTATTGATAATATAAAGTTATTCAGGTCATCGGTGAATATTCTGGTCCTAACTCTTAATGGAGGTTTGTGGTTCCAAAGACTTTTTCTGAAGTTTGAAATTTTAAAATTGCCTTTAAAATAATTTTCATGTCAACGGGATAGTCCTTCTTAGTATCAGGTGCAACTATTTATGGCAAGGATAAAATATTATACTTAACTAAAAAGATTTCCAATAAAATTTGTAAACTATTATATCTCTAATAATTAAAATGATCATTTACCGTATTACATATGGCTAGTTTCACTGTGACAGGCAACGTGTTAAATATTTCGACTACTTCAGAATCAATCAATATGTAAAGTAGTGAAAGCTCACAGGTATTCGCCGTAACTGAGACCATCTTGGTCCTTGTTAGGAAAATCACCGTAGCAGATTACTCGTACTTCACCGTTTGCGAAGTTCTGCGTGTACGTTGTGTAAAATAACAACATTGGTAACGATAGAATGGCTCCTACGATCCAGATGACGATTGCTACGCATAACGTAGCTCTTCTTCCCATGTGAGGCCTCAAAGGGTTCATGATGGCCATGTATCTGTAACAAAATGTGTAAAAATTATTTTTCAAAGAAACGATGTTAGAGAACACCAGGTGAAGAAGATTGAAAAATTATCTAGTATCTTAATACGACAGGATTCTAAATGATGACATAATATTGTTATCAGACAATTGCGGGCGAACACTCTGTTTTATTAAAATTTTTCACGCGTCTCGGTTTCCAGTTGGCTATTGCCAAGATGAGGTTTCACACTAGACAGACTTTGTCGTAAATTTTCTAGCTAGTGATCACGTTGCATCGGGGTGATAAATCAGCCTCAAAACGCGTCAGCTCTTTTCTTGAATGAGAACACGAGCCAGTGCCACTAGAATTCGGTAGAGTCACTTAGAAAGTTATTAGCCCTTTTTTACGATATAACGATGCCAAGTTTTCTTTGAACCTTCGTCTGAAATTAGAAAATTGGTTCATTACAAAAAGAAATCTTGGAAATTTAAAGAGGAAATGGGTTTTCTGCTGATTTTCATTATTGGTCACGAAATGGGTTTTTCATTAAGTGAAGCTCAATGAAATTGAATTTTCCGAACACCATTATCTTCCTTATTAAAAGACGGAGAGATTCATGCACTAACGAGTTCCTTTATTGGTGATAGGTACCATTGTGCGAATAAGAAATTCGTAGGGTGGATATCTACCCCAGTTGTGTGTTTGAGTTCTAAGGTTAATTTATATTAATATTTCATAGAGGTATTATATAAAATTCGCAATTTGTTTTTTAAGAAGAAATATGTGTTTAAACTTTGGTTCTCTATTTTGGAGCAATTCTTTATACGTATTGATACGTGTGTGATACTCGAAAAATGAGAATTGCTGCAGCTGGGCATAAAGTAAGATGGTTCAGCAATAAAATGTAGCATGTAGCTGTGAAATCTATTTTCTAATATCCAAGTGACCACTCCATTTTGCTGGAGCATCGAACGAGAAATCCATGAGACTGAACCCCACCTACGAACGACTTATAAGCTTTTTAAATTTCATCCAATCTCGTTATCGTATTGTTCCGATCTATCGTCGACGTTCTTGAATGTTACCTGAATCGTAAATTTTCTCGTGGAATATAAGAATTGAGCTAAAAGAAAGATTTATAAAAATTCAATTACAAACACAAGTGGTAATCAATTATTCAGTTTAGTAAGTTACAAAATTTTAGTTAATCTATTATACAAAATTGGAAATTTAAATAATCCTTCAAAGTAATTTTACAATAGTTATGTTAGAATGCCTTCAATCATTGCACCTATGCATTATTAAATTATGATAATTATCCAAGTTTGTAGAGACCATTATGTTTCTGTCAATATATTCACGCAATGGTTAGGAGTATTTAATTAACACGGATAGCAATGGACAATGTTAACTCCGATAATGCTCATGGACATTCATTAATTGCTCAAGATTACTCTAAATCAAAATTAGCTTTGATTCAATGCCACGTCAACCACTATATTGTTCTCAGTATATGATTCCATTTAACATACAGCAATTATAATAGGGATGTAATTACGACTGAATAATGAGAATGTTTAAGGCAAGTAGGGATCGAATCGTTTTTACATAGCAGTAAGAATGTATGTAGGTCACTTGAGAACGTTTATAATGGAGAACTCGCATTCGTTAAATGTCAGGTCGATTATGAGCTGAATTATACTTGAAATGCATATGATTTGATCTCATTTTAGTTTTCGAAAGGATTTGAATATTTATTTTACAGAAAACAAAAGTGTTGCTGCCTGTCGAGTTTTGACATCACAAAGCTCCTCTACAGATATTTAATGAACAATGAGTTTCATTTTGTTATGCAGATGTAACAAATGTGTATCATAGCACATATAATTTACCTTCAGTTATAGTATAATTACACTTTCTGCATGTTCTGCGTTATATAAATCCTTAATATTGTTATAAAATTAGCTACATGTGGTATTTATCAGTTTACGTTATTTTAGTATTTGTATAATTAATTTTACTGGGACAAATAAAAAGGAGCTTGTAGCTAAATAATTAATTAAAATTTTTCATTTAAAAGACAGAAAATTTGCATATTTTGTGGCTGAATATAAAATTAAATTATATAAACATAAATTTCAAAGATCAAAGGTATACAAGGTAAAAGTACATTTGCATGAAGTGTTGATTGCTGTGATTCTGAATAATTTATGAATATCGATCAAATTTTTAATGTATACGTAATTTAACTGCGATCATACGAAAGTGTAATAATTCTGTCGGATGCAGAAGGGAACCATTTAAGACGTATGGTCCAACCTCGTTCCTTCTGTCAAGAGCACAACTTCAAGTTTCAAGCAAGTAAAATTAATTAATTACATGCTCCACCTGGGTTAGTTATACGTCACTGAAATTATTCAACTACTACTGGCACGTTCAGTATCGAACAGGGTAGGTTTCCTTAGGAAAAGTGGGGTCACAAAGACTTTTCTAATAATTTGAGAGTTTCTAAGTTGAAACTAGCATCAGAATATTCTCCGCAGATATTAGAACTTGAAGATCAAAACTGAAATTTCATCAATTCTGGCTGGAGCCTTAATTTGTCTAAAGCATACGTAACTAGCTCCACCAGGTCGCAATTAAACTTTAATTTCCACGCAAGTTCCCATCCTAAAGTTTTAGGTTTGATCTCTAGAACCTCGTTTAGCATTGATAGGTCCAAATTGTATAATTTAAATTCTGGCTGGGATTAGATGGTCGACGGTATACATATATTCAACGTAAGTTTTAGTTTACATATAGTGAAGTTGTTGAATGAAATTGTTACTTTGGATGTAAAATGGTATGCATTGTATCTTGCTTGAGAAAATCTCTGAAGCTTTAATCAGTAGGACAATTTTCTCAAAAGCTTTTGCTCTTTTACTTCGCAGCAAGTATAATCGTGGAATTTATTTGGAATACCATACATACACCTTTTCCACTGCGTTGCTCTCAATGTTCTCGTTAAAAGGAGAAAAATGTTTCTCACACGTCGTGGTAATAAAGTTTTCGAAGAAACTACATATTCGACGGAAGAAAATCTCAATCAAATAAACGTTTGTAAAAAGCGGCTTGCATATCTCATACATACAAATTATGTTCTTCAAAATTAATGTCTTACTACCTTTCAAGGAATTTTTCATATTAGTTTCATTCTATATAATGTTAATTTTTAAATTGCATTTTAAGTTCTCTTTTTCTCTTTAAATAATAGAACTAAATGATATCCAAGATTTTCTTATCGTTTCTGTCAGGTACTTTTGTAAATTAATTAATTCTACTTGCTTTTTGTTCTGTTCATGGTTTCATTCAGGCAAACCTGATATCGTAACCAACTAACACACGAAACTTTTCGAAATGATAGCTCTTCAGAAGCTGACACTTCATACGGACAGTATCTTGACCTGAAATTTCTGCAAACTTCCTGATGTCTTCTGGATGCAACCGTGTGGGAAAGTGCATATACGTTGCCACTTACGAACTCGATGCATTTCTCGTCCCAGAAACAAAAGACCCGATCAATTCTGCTCAGTTGAATGTTTCCTAAAGTATCACCCTTGATAGAGCTCCCTTGTTCTACTTCCATTTCAATTCTATGTTAATTCGGTCCTAAATGTTTCGTCGACGTTTTCTCTTGAATTTTATATGTAACTCTAGAAGGAACTACATCAGACTTTTTCTCAAGCTTATGAATTTTTTGGTACTCTTCTTGGCGGAAGAATCTTTCCTCGAAGAACTCCAAACTTAAAATTGATATCGTCTCTCTGCCACATTTTTCTACCCGATATTAATGGCACAGTTTTCTTGAAACGCTCAAGAAAAGTGCTCGTTTCTCTTTTACTTTTTCTTGCATCATCCGTTCTCGTTTATATTCGCTTAGCGAGATAAAAAGTGTCATACGATTTCTTACCCTGTATCGCTTTGAAATTACACTATTTGAGGTGCATTTAACTATTCAGGTTACAAATTTTCCTTACTTCAACATGACATTAATTATGTTATATATACATACGATAATTGAGGATATAACGATAAAACAAGAACATTGCTTTGTCAGTTACGTAGATTGCTTGCAACAAGAATAATGATTAAAAAAAGGAAATAATTGCTTACTGTCCCAAAGGAATGTGTTTCATCCAAAAGTTGATTGTTACGAGGGAAAAAGCAATCAATGCAGGAAACAGCAGTTACTCACCTCTCTGGAGGCTGTTGTTCAGCAACAACTCTCGATATTTACCGTATTGCAACAATAAATTACAAAGAATATTGTTTGAATTTGAAACAACTGAAGCGATTTTGCAATGCAGCACTTTTGGAAAAATTTAGTTTTAAATGGCGAAACAATTGTTTGCTATGTAATAGCTTTTAAATATTTTGTAAATTTTTGTTAAAGCCTATAGTCTATTACTATTTTTTCAATTTTAAGAATGATCAAAGGAGATATGTTATAATTGTAGTAAACAGATGAAACTTAAAATTAACAAAAGATATTTCATTATAAATTCTTTCTTTAAATGTGCATCTAACGAAGATAAAGTTCACAACGATGCTTAACAGCTTTTCTTGTCTCGATTTTACGCTGCACTACTTTACAAAAGAGACGCATGTAAATTCGACAAAGGGGTTGCCTTTACTTTGTGAAATCGAGTATCTCAAAGATATAATTTGAATAACGGACCGTTGGTAAAGTACAAAGGTAAAATTGCAACTAGTTCATCTGATCTGTTTTAAGCGTATGAAGAAATGAATTTTCTGTACTCTAAGCAGAGTACATAATGTTTTAATAAAATTCTTTTTGAATCAGTCAAGACTTAAAAATTTTTCTTTTTCAAAATTCTATATTTTCCAGAAAGAAAAGCGTCAATTTTAAGTTTCATGTATAAAAGATTTCACTTACAATATATTTTCTGTAATAAAATACATATTATGGTCTTTGTTGACGTTAATTCAAATTATAATTCATATTAACAATGTAATCGAGATTATGGACGTTTTGGTTGGCTAAAGTGGTGCTGAGAATTCCTATAAATCTCTTGAGATTGAAATTTAATGCACGACACTACCATTCTGGTATGTTAGCTGACGAAATGCGGTGAGCTTAAGAGCTGATCTTCCATCCTTCCCCAAAGTGTTTTATCTAAATTTCCATTTTAAATAGTTTAATACTATATTCTCTAATCAAATGTGGAGTAAATTCCTCCAAATTGGCTCTTAACTCTTGATATACCTATTCTATTTAAATCTATTTTGTTCACTTAAACATGAAATATTTTAACTGAATCTAGAACAAAAATAAATTCTTCAGTGTTCAAGAATGTCTCTAAATCTTATTGAATAATTAGATAATAATTCCGATTTATATTTTGATATAGGTTTACTAATTATTATTCGAAGAATTTAAATATTTATTATTTAGTAAACTAAATTCTAGAAATGTACATTTTATAATTTGATATTTCATTAAAAATGTCAAATGGTTTCAATAAAACTTTTTGAAAAGTAGATTCTATAAAAAGGACTATAAATCTGGAACGATTTCATCGATCTCTATCTTTCAATTCTACCACAGTTGGAAGTGCAGAGAAAGTGAAGTCATCAATATCTATCTTCTTTTCACACTTCATCTCCAGCTTTCTATTTCGTCTAAACGACCTATCATGTTATTGATTATTAAAAATTGATACGATGTGATTGACACTACGTTTCCGACATTTACGCTGATATTGTGATAGATGTTCGTATTCGTACTCACAATGAGATTAAGATTCATTCGTTCGCGGTTGTTAGGCATCGGAATGTTTTCTCCGATCGATTGATCGTGCTGCCAACACCGACAGTGGCATCGGAATTTTAATCGGTTTTCCAATTGTCGGGAAATAGCACCGTAGGCATTTTGATTAAAATTCGCGTTGTGGTTTATGTTCACGTTTGAATTTCGATTTACGCACTTCTTCGTAACCCTGTGTTTATTTATGTTCTTGTAACAGGAAGGTAAAAAATTGTTCAAAAAATAGAATTAGACTTCTAGGTATTCTAACCATAAGTAAATACATACATGTTCAACAGTATTTGCTTTTTCGATTTTTTTAGTCATAATTAATTCATCAAAGGTAATGATAAGTCGATAAACGATTGATACCAACAACCACGTTTGATATTTTGATTGACAGCGCTTCTGTTAATTATTCAGGTTAAACTTGACACTTTGAATTATATTATGATAGATGATCAATGATTTATCCGCTCCAGTTGAGAAACCGTCGGATGTTTTACTTCCGGAAGAATAACTGATATGCACACTGAATATCGTTAATCAATATTTTACCATTGTATTTTGCATAGTGATCCTTAAGATCGCGTTATACTTTTTCTGAAAATTCTGATAAAATTAAAATTAATATTCGGTAATATTATAATAATGCTTTAATTAGCGCCGAAATGGTTATATTTATACAAATCTTCCGTTATGATTCTGTTTTGTAAGATACGAAATGAAATTCTTGATATTAAGTTTCAGTTAACTCTCCAATTTATGTTTGCGCGTACTTCCTGTTTGTATTTATCTTATTTAGCGTTTAAACGCGTTCTTGTTTCGCGCATCCTCTAAAGTGTTTGCCGAAGAAGTTTCCTTCATAATCCCATTTTCTTCTTAATGTCGGTAAACAGCTTCGATTATTTTTGCAGGGAAGTTTATTCAACCATTTTCTTTTGTTACCTTTATTTATTAATTCAGATAATGTTACGTTTATAGATTCCCTCGGTCTTTGGTAAAAATATCAACTCGTAATTTTTAGTGAAATTTTTACTGCAGTAAAACAAAAAGAGAAAGAAAGCTAAGCACTTTTGTTTTTTTAAATCGATGTTTTCAACTAATCAGGATGTTGTTCTCTCTTGAAAATATCAATTAAACTCTAATATCGCTATCCGGATTTAGTTTAATCTAACCGAGACGTTCAAGAGCTTGTCGTTTGTTTCCATTCGAGAATTGAACAGCCTGACAGGCGACAAGGAAAGCATTTCCCGCGAAAGCTTCGAGTGCTCAGCGAATGAAAAATTACTGACAAACGATTCAGCTCGTCAACATCTCCCAAGAGTTCTTGTTATCTCTTTGTCAATGATTTCCTCGTAGCAACGAAGAAATTTGAATGAAACATGAATTATCAATGACACGAATCATAGCGTACTCTTTCTCGAATAATTTCTGAATTTTAACCCTTTGATTGATTTTTAGAATTCACCCCAGTCGAAGGGTTAACAAACTGTTTAACGACATTGCATTAGTTATTGTAACTTGTCAGTCCTTTTTACTTTATTGCAATTTGATTTGTTCGTGACACAATTGTACAATGCGGGTTGGTATCTGCTGAATACCACCATTGGTCTTGCGTGAGCGAAACGCTTGGCTGTACTTTAATGAGCTTCAACGTGCTTCACCTAAGGGTGATCTCCTTTCTGCATCAAGCAAAAAGCCCAGGCAATTATTCAGTTGATCTCTGAACCATTAATGCGACTTGTTGGCTGTGGTGGTACCTCAGCGAGGATCGTTTTCCATCTTCCATGCGGATATGCATTACCGCAGGAACCAATTTCCATTTGTTATCTGATCGCCATGATTTCACCGAGCTTTGGAAACTGGTTTATGTTAGTTACAACTCTCTTTGTCGTATACTTATCTATTGTCTGTTGAATGGTAGTATCTTATTTCTTTTTTATACCACGGAGCACAATAAAAAAATTATAATTTAACGTTAGGGAAATGTGATCTATTAGAAAATTTTAAAAAGGCAAATATATAATTTTTCAATAGTCTATTGTCTATTATTAGTATCATATCCATGATACTTAGATATACTATTTCTTCTTTTTTAAAATTTGAAGTGAAGTACTTTAAATTAATTTGATTTTTTCCTGATTTAATAAATTATACTACCGTGTGTCGGACTAGTTATGGGTATTACTACTGTGCCAAGTGAACTCAACAACTTCGACGTTGAAATAAAATCAGTCGAAAAAAGCTGTTGTACGTGTACACCATTCGCTAAGAATTATTTTTGTTCCGAAAACAAACTGGAGTCCCAAATTGCGTTCCTTTGTACATTCATCCGAACAGTAGATATCCAGAAAATAGTCCAGCACGTATGTATACAAACGTCAGCCGGCTGGCCACAGAATAAACTGCAATTTTCTGTTTGAAGTCGTGATTTTCGTCTCTTGTTTTGTGCCCAGCTTGAGCTTTATTTATTTGTCAGAGGGTGGATTGTCAAGATGGCGGACGTTTCCTTTTACGCGTTTCGGGTCGGCTACTTGTCCAGCTTATGGACGCTTGCTATTTCAGATGGTGGTTTCCATTTCACGACTTTCATCCTTCTAATCTTTCCTACTGATTTCACAGAGCGACCGCTTCAGCAGGCGAACGGTTATTAAGTAGAATTTAATCGGCTTTCAACCCGTAAATCTACTTGAAACGTTGCCAAATTCTAAGCCGTAGGTAATCTATAATAGATGGAATTTGTGCAAACTTGGGTTCTACGTTGGTATTCTTGAGAAATAATCCCTAAATAGGATATATTCTATAATTCACTGAACTTCATTTTTATCAAATAATATAAAAAAAAATGAAAAAGCATTAGATTAATAAAAAATTTCTATACATTTCCTAAGTATTGAATTATTAGATCATAAATTTCTCAATATTTTATTTTATTCCACTCTGTTATGTCTGACGTATATTTATACGAGAGATTCCAAAAGATAAGTCAAAATCAAATGGATTGAGGAAATAACGAGGATGATAACGCGTTTTCAGAGACATTTCTCGTGACGTTATATGAAAGACATATTGAAGCTTACCTGTCGATAGAAATCGCCATTAAGGTGAAGACGCTGGCACATATAGTGAGCACCGCGATGAATTGGCAGATCTTGCAATAGAGGGTGCCAAAGGGCCAGTGGCTATTCAGCATGTAGATGTAATTGAACGTGACATTCAACGTAGACACCATAGCGTCAGCGATGCTCAAATTCACCAAGAAATAATTGGTTACGGTTCGCATTCGTTTGTGAGCCAACACGATCCAAATCACTATCAGATTGCCACCGGTAGCGACGATGATCATACCGGCGAACAATAACGTCCAGATCATTTGTCTCCACCATGGAAGTATAAACTGATTTCTCTGTTGTAAATCCGTATCAGTCGTGTTGTTGTAATAACCGTAATCGTCCGTCCATAGGGTGATATTCCAAGGATCTGACGTAGAATTAACGAAAACGTCGAGGGCCTGCATTTTACCGATTACTTTCCTTAGAAACTATTACCATTAACAAATAGACTTTCTCGATTTTAATTTAACACTTAGACGTGACATTTAGATTCTTAGAGAAATTTTTAAATATTTCGTTCATTTCTTGCAGTTCTTTAACTAGGAATGCTTTTGGAACACATATAATCATTTAATTAATTTAATTTAATTAAACACTTCAGAGATTCGCACCTGCACACTAACACTTAGGATTTAACACGCATCACCGTGTGCTAAACTGGCGAGTATTATATAATTTTATACTAGTAATTTGAAAATGTCTTTCATTTTTGTTTAATGAGTTCTCTAGAACATTTGATCGGTTACGTGTAGACATAATAAAATTGATGATCCCTGCTGCCACAGCATTTCTGTTCACGGATAACTGACAAGACTGAGTCACCGGTGATGCTCACTTCCACTTCCGTTTCATGCACGGACGCCTCTAACAGGCTTCCGTTGGATCGACTACTCAGGCGTTGACCCACTGGATCAATCTGTATTGTTTGCATTGGTCACCTTCCAAAATTGAATCCAATCTTTGTTCAACATTAGTACACCAGATACAATAATTTCAATTCTTCCCACGGATTACCATTTTACCATTTTGATTTATTTCCAGCATTTGAGGTGTCTATTCATTAATCAATTTAGCTTCTCCAGGATCGGTTTCTAATTCCAATGGATAATTATTTTGAATTTTAATTCTAAGGAGACACTTCATTTTTTTGTCACACATAAAAATTCTCTAATCTGCCAGAGCTTTCCTATCGCATTTTCCCTTAATGAAAATGGCATCTTCCCGGTGTATCCTCCGTTTTTACGATTCTGAGTTCCACGGGTAGTTACACCAGAAACTTTCAGCCGGTATTGTTAAAGAAATCCTCGGAATTCTCAGCGAACTACGCTCGACTTTCTTTCCCAGCCTCGATCGACAGGCATCCCGACTGTACGCGAAGGTTTAGCTTATTCCGGCGGGGTTTTTTTCATTTGTCTCGAGCACGAAGTTGTATAGAATTCCGCGAGTAAATTGGATCAGGTGGGAAGCTTTGTTGCAAGCGGGCAAGCTTTTTACACTCTTCAGGCTCGTTTCCTGTTTCGTTAGTACGTTGATACTCATTTCCTTCGCAGTATAATTCTATCCGTGCAGAGTTTCAGAGTATATCTTGCTAAGAATAATAATCTCGTCGGCGCCCTGTTTTCCGAGTGATCGAGGAAGAAGAAATCTCTTCTGAAGTGACTGTTCTTGTCACGATAGATCTTGGCGAGGTTCGTTTGAATTTTTCGAATCTTCCATCGTCCGAAGAATTCTTCTGGTTCGACGGATCTTCTTTTAGATCGAAAAGAGAGCACCTGGGGAATTCGAGAGCGTGTCGTGTTCCCAAAAAGATCACCAGCTCGAAACGAAAGTTCCTTTGACGTTCCTCGCGTATATTCGCGTTCCTCCTCGAATTACGAGCGATTTCAGAGATTGTTCGGTATCGTCCTCGCGTGCAAGCATCTCTGCGAGAAAATAAAGCTCAGACGATTGGTTTCCGCGGGAATTCGTTGCGCATGGAATTCGAAGGAAGGTTGTGTTAACGGCGCGATGGGAATGGTCGGTTCACGGGAGATATCACCGCGCCGCCGTTATGTCCGGGGACTGGCAGAAAATTATTTTCAGATATTCGCCGTCGGGAACGAGGACAAGAATGCTTCTGTTCGCCGTTTCCCTGATGCTTCCGACAATCCTCATTGGAATCGACGTCCCAGAATCGCGCTATCTGTTTCCTTTCGTCTGGCCGAACCACGCTCCCAGAACGTTTCGTCACGTTTGCAATTTCTTCGTGAACGGTGCTCGGCACCCGGAAACAGCCAACTCTGAAACATAAATTACAAAGGGAAAAGTCATGTTTTAGCATTCGAACGAATTTCGTTGAAAGTTTATCGTTTTTTCATTTATAGTACGATTTTTACTGCCGCGAAAAGAAAGTCCGGAAAGCAATTTTATTTCTAAGAAATTTCAAAATTGTTAGGTTGATTATATAGGTACTTTTAGATACATCAGTGATGAGAGATGGTAGTTGTATCTTGAATTAATAGGAATGTGAGAAAGGCATATATTTATCAGTAGTTTGAGTCATGACAGTATCAGATGCTACTGGAGGACGTTAAATGAACAGTGAACCACTGTACTTGTCCACCGTGTGTTCATCTTGATGCGACATGTTCGATCCACAAACTTGGCCCCGTTCCTTGCGTTACATACCAATGTGGATAACTCGTGTGACGAGATCAATTATTCAGGCACTTAGCTAGATGGTTCCCAGGAACTTGCATAATTTCAGTGTACCCAAAGGCAAATCTTGCCTTTGTTTCAATCCGTTGTTCAGAGAGAAATATGTGCTAACGTCTGTTGTACTGTCAAATAAATGAGTGAATTTTGGAAGTAATATACAGTCATTTTCATAAAAGCTTAAGGTTTAAATTGATATAAGATAAGTGCTATTTTGTGATATTTTTATGTCATCAAATCATATTAGACTTTATACGTTTGAAAAAGCTTATGAAAGTTCTATTATTATTTTTTTTTACTATTTGGTACGTAGTTGCATTTTGTACTTCAGGTATGCATCTGGTGAGCTTTTAGTATTTTTACTTTACATTTTGCTTTAGCTTAATAAAGCTAGAAATGCGTTGAGGTAATATAATCTATGAAATTCAGGTATTTTGTGAAGGAGAGAGCAGCAAAGCTTTCAAAGGCAACCGAGTTAGTCCTTGGAATGCAAGGAGTTAATAATATTACCTGAATGAAAATATTATGCTTTAAATCATTTTCTTGAAATTATTTCAGAAATGACTTCCTGTGTTCTATTTACCTTTACTGTTGTCCACTTAGATGTTATTATAATCATAACATAATTACAAAAAGAGTATAATATTTGTTAGAAATGCTGATTAAAAGCGTAGGAAAACATTCAGAGACTTAAAATAGAAGGACACTTAATAAAAAGAAAGAAACGAAGAGAACCAACGAATTCGTTAGCTGTCCATGAAGTAAAACTGTCTCTTAACTGGGGCTATTGTTGTTATCTCAGCATAAAACTTGCGAAACTAGCGATGAATTAAAAATGCTATGCAAGCATTTGCATTTTCGTTCCATTGTTACGTAAGTTGCAATATAATACAACTACCCCGAAGACGAGAAACTCCGCTATTTCTTATCAGGCTTTTGAAGTGAATAATTGTACAATAGAAATGAAGATTCGCTTAAGACATAATTAAAGAGAACAAGCAAATTATGGTAAGGTGCTTATGAGAGACGTTTAATATTTGGGGAAGATGGAGCGCATTCTTGATGGTATATGTTTATGCATCATAGGTTCCTGGAAATGTTTATACTTGAAATTCCCAAAATGTTATTAAGCACATCACGGCGTATAATTTGATATAATTTAGTCATGCAATATGCAAGAATTTCACACATTTTCCTATCGCCTAAATACCTGACGATCGATAAATTGTAGGGAAGAAAGGGTGTTGTATCAGGGATGCACCGATATTTGTAAGCTTCTATAGCTGTAATTGCATGAGTTTTCATATTCGGGGATTAATGATGAAACGGTACAGTAATTATGAACGTTTATACATCGAATAACGATTCGTAATTAAGGTAATCTTGAAACAACAAAACTGGCTAAATTAAATTCACAATAAACTGGTTCGTGCAATGGTGTCAAGGGAAGTAAAAATTCGATACTTCCTGCAATCAATACCGTTGTTTAATCCATGTTAGATTTGTTCATTTTTATAATCTTTTGAAAATAAATGTTGGGACATTTAAAATTGGGAAATTTATTCCATGAATTCGACTTATTTCCTTTTTTCCTTTTTTAGGAAGTACAAAATGTTTACAAAATCATGGTAGGCCGTTTCTGAAAAATAAAGCTATTGTATTAAATTTTCTCATTTTGTTGCAACTTTCATTTGCAATATCTCCACCCCGATCTGCACACGTCTGAAAGTTGTTTCGAACTAAAAGAAAACGAAGTCATTGCACGAATTGGAAAAGGGTAACTCGGTTAAAGAAACCGAAATCGAAGTTTTCGAGGAAACGAGGTAGTGAATTTTTTCGCAAAGTAAGGGAAGCATTTGATAGATGTAGAATGTAGGAAAGTATATCAGGACAAGTAGATGGACCATGGCCAACGTGGGCCAGCTCTATCGATCTTTCGATTCGAGATAAAAAAGTACAATCGCGAAATTGACCGGTACACATTTGGCAGTGGTTGTAAAACACCAGTTCGCAAGGTGACTGGCAATTTATTCTATCGATGGATCGCGGGCAATGATACTCGCTCATATCGGTTCGCTGCATAGCAGTTTGCATAGTTGAGAGAACAGGAACTGCTTGATCGTACAACTGGAGAATTTCACACAGATTGATGGAAGATAGAGAACACGGTAGTAGATGGATGAATGTTTCTCTCTATATGAAATGCAAATGAATCGGTGAAACGGGATTGGGTACTTAAACGTGCGAATAAAAATGGGTATTGTGCATGTTGAAAGCGTGGGAGTATGAATTTTTGCATACAATTTTTCGCTTTAATTCCCGTATTTCTGTAAAAATATCTAAAAATTTGGAACTCTGGAAAAATCTTCACTATTTATACGCTTTTATGCATTGAAAGATTCTAACAAATCTTTATCTATTCTAGAATTATATTATATTATTTTATTAAACATGAAAGTACTTCTCAGTTGATAGTTCACGTTAAATACCGTTTAAAATTTCACATTTGTCGTACATGTAACAATCTTATGTAGTTGTTACTATTTTTCAAATTACAAAACACGAGGAAGAAAATATTTTTCTTGGAAACTAATCAGATTAGAAACACCCTTCCAACCGGACTGCAATTTTCTCTGGCTTTCTTCGTGATTTCCTCTTATCTAGCACCCCCCGTTCCTTTTTTTTTCAATTCAGTTACACCCTCATTGTTTTTCCACTGAGGACAGGGGTAAAATTTATTTAGACTATAGGTGTCGGAAACACATTGTGATGGTGAACTCCTTTTTGTTCCACTCCACCAAAAGCACCTAAACAGTCTAGTTACCTCAGGTTTTGCATTCGTGCCCTCTGCCCTTTCTGTCTTCATTGAATTTTACATCCAACCCTTGTTATTCGTCTTCTCAGAACTTTGATTAAACATTATTCAAATGAAAAGTTATACGTTATTCGCGATTAAATAAGTTTCTTGCTTGAAAATAAAAAGAATTTGCTTTTTGAACATTTCACGTACTAGCTTGTATTTCTTGGTTAACAATTTATCGCACGTTATGGTGAAATCTTTTTTCTGCCCCCAAAAAAGCAATGAATGCTCAGAATGACAAATAGCTAGCCTATTCTTCACTCAATTCCTTTGTCATTGTGACATTTGGAATAAAAAATCAAAGGTTGTTGAAACCGCTGTTTGATTTATTGAGAACATCAGCTTTTATGTCAAATCTTACATTCCACTCGCAGATGAAATAAATAAGCATTGTTACTAAGAATTGATAGGAGTAATCCATATTGTCCTGGTTCTGTTATTATTAGGTTGACAACTAAATTTGTAACCTCGCGTATTTTGCTTCAAAACTGCCCGAATTCTGTTGCAGTGGGACCAAAAAATTGTGGGCGGATTCATTCCGTTCTTATCTAGCCATTAAAGTCTACTTTAGTTTGTCATTGTGGTATCCGAGGAAAATGCTCATTCCATTCGTTAAAAGTAGGACGTCCTCTGTGATTACCGTTTCCAGTTCCAATTCAAAGAATTTTAGAGAAATTACTGTCTTTCCGTTTGCCGAGACAGCTTACAGTATTATGTAATTTATATTTTAAGATTTTCAGATGATTTCATATAAAATCTTTTGAATATTGAAATTCTGTCACTGATAGAAATGTGTAGGATTAATGCTCAGTGGATTATTGCACGAAGACGGAAATTACTCGCTAGCGAATTTCCGAAATTGATCATCATCGATAAATTTCGTGTTGCGAGTGTACGTCAGCAAACGACACTTTTGGCGCTCCATGAAGTATGATATTTATTACTTCCTTCTTATCGCGATATGCTTCATTCGATCGCGAACGTACACAGAAATTTCGAATGTAAATTGAAAAAGTGGCAGAAAGTAATTTTAAAGCTTCGAAGGACGTGATACTTGATGAGGCTCAAATATTAACTTATACTAGATGGCTTTTAACCTGTCTGTACGGAAGATGTTATTGACAGCTGTGAGGATGGTCGTAGGGCTGACCTGTCATTCAATAATGCCCTATATTACGTTAAAATGCGCAACGATTGAAAATTGAATAATCGAGTTTTGACATTTCGTTATTTTTATCAAATTGTACGAATGCAGAAAATGACGAAAATAAATAAAAAATTTTATGCATCAAATAAACTAAAAATAAATCCTGATTAAATGTTCAAAGTCTTTAAATTTTATTCACGGTTTATGAAACGAAGGATATTTCATCTAAAATTCAAATATTTGGAGAGGTTAAAGAATAACGAAATAATTGGCACAGTAGACAAACTTATGGTTTCGCGAGGAGCTGAGAAACAGAAGGCAAGTCGAGCCGAGAGGAAAGGAAAGAAGAAATATCTGGCAATTGTAATCTCAGAGAATGAGACGCATTCTGCACAAAGCTTTTCCTTATGCAAAGAGCCACCACCTGACCTGACAGTAGTGCTTTCTCCATTCGCGTGACAGCATAGTTTCGTTGTTTCCTTCCTCAAATATGTACATATTCGTGGTTTACTTGTTCGTCTACCATATCGTACGCTCGTACTACTTTCTCAGCTCTCTCTACGTTATTATTGCGCCCT